GTGTTAGGGTTTATTAGGTCGAGTCTATAAGCGCCTTAGCATGATACAAGACGTTTGAGATCACAGTGTCCTGATAAAATAATCAGGTAACGGTATATATGATCAAAAAACAGATACACTACAATCTTATGAAAATAAGAATATCCCAGTATATTAATACCTTAGAAACTCGCTGATTATAATAATATTATCATTATCAAATCTTATAGCCTCCATAACACACTGTTGGATATCTAAAACAAATGTGGATAAATACCACATAAGACTACCCATAAAACGAGGATGAGATGGGATGAAATTAATCAAGGATGGGGGATTACAGGCAGTCCACAAATATTACTCAACTTTACCATATATAGCCTGTGGACAAAAACTACTCTATTTCCCACATAAATTTTCAAATTTGCATGACGTAAGACTTAATAAGTTAGCCAAAATGATAACAGGACACGACTCTTCACACAATAGGCAAAATGCCAAACTGCTATACCCAGAAGATAACATTACTCTGATCACATTTTAAAGCCACAGACAGCCTGGATCAGACTCCTTCCATATCATTGTTGTCAATATAACAATATCTGGAGTCTGGACATCCCATGGAAATACAATACTTCAACGCAATAATTGTTAATATTACACGTATGAAAAAATCATACATTAAAAGTTTTACATAACAACATAATTTAAAGTTAAGTTCTAAAGGAAATTTTCCATTGATTGCACACCAGTAATTTAGGCTGGGCTAAACAAAGCATATTCAAATGAATCCTGTGGATATAAGATTAATTTGATCTCTTAAGGAGGAAGGATGTTATGACTGTGAAACTTTGCACAGAATCTGAAATGAGATTGTCTCGATGTTATTTCAGAATAAATGCTAAAACCCTTGAAATATAGAAAAAGTTAAGCTCATCCCCATTCCCAATTTCCCATGGTTAGCATGCAATTTTCGTATCTCAGCCACTTGGCTAAGTAAATGAGTGTTGTACTGTTGTCACAAGAGAATCAGGTAACATTAACGAAATGGCAGCTTATAACACATAACTAACCTGAGCTGGAAACTGTGATTTGAAGGCTTTGGGTTCAATGTTGTAGCCTCCAGGTCCCGCAGCTTTATAAATTCCATACAACAACTTTAGATCGACATCATATAAAAACAACCGCATCCCTGTATAAATCTTTTCCACAATCTCTTTCTTGCTTTCTGGCAGCCCAAGAACCTTGTACAGATAGCAGTCATCCTTCGTCTTGGAGCTGCACATGAAAATCATCCCCATGCTCTCAACTCTTTTCTTCCCTTTTCTCTTCTGGGAAGATTCTGATTTATCTTTTGTACCCATTTTCTTGGACATCCCTACTCGCACCTTCTTCCTTTTGCTTCTTCCATTTGAGTCCTTATCATTCCCCAAATATGCTGCCTGTTTGTCACTCCTGTTATCTTTAGCTTCTTTTGTATCTTGTTTTGCTTTAGCTCCCTTTACATCTTCTTTCACTATTGGTTTACTTTCACCTTCTTTCACTACAGTTTCCTTATTCTCTTCTTTTGCCACGGGTTTCCTTTTATTGCCATTTTCTTTTGCTTTGCTAGTATCTTCTTTGGCTTTCGCTTCCATTTCATCGCCTTTGGAAACTTTCGTTGCGTCGTCTCTACCAACTTCATCTTTGTTATAATCTTCTTCGGATGTCTCATCTGCGCTAACTTCATCCTCATCATCTTTTTCATTCCCTGAATCTTCATAACTAGCTCCGTCCTTGTCCCCAACATGGTCCTCACTGTCTCCTTCAGACATTTTTTGTTCATCATCCCACATTAGGCCCCCTTGATCATCAGTTTCGTTATGTTCAGTAATATTTTGATGAGACTTCGCCTCATTCTCGTTATTCATCTCTGTCGCTAGTATGTTCTCATCATTATTTCGTACCTTTGCCACTTTTTCACTTTCTTCTGGGTCCAGAAATTCTTCAGGACCTTTATCATCTGCCTCTTGGGAGGGTATTTCTACATTATCTTCAAACTGATCATTCGCATCGGGTTCTGCCAAGGGAAGAGAAGTCCCTTCCGAACCTGAGTCATTTTTGGCAACTTCATTCCCTGTGGGAGTTGGATTAAAGTTGGCACTCCCTTTTTCGGGTTCTGCCAAGGGAAGAGAAGTCCCTTCCTCACCTGAGTCATTTTTGGCAGCTTCATTCCCCGTGGGAGTTGTATTAAAGCTGGCACTCCCTTTTTCGTCTCCAGTATTGACCATTGTCGTCCTTATACATTAGAATCCCAAACCACATATTAGATTCATACTTGGCTCATTTGATTGAGATGAGAAAAGAAAAATCTAAGACGTTACAGATACGTGATAACTGCCTTCATTCAGGACAGAGATTTCTGGATTGGACTTCACGCACTTGATTATATCCATAGATTCAAGCTCCTACGTACTTTTCTAAACCATGGGATCTAAAAGTAGTCTGTAATGGGACAAATTTGCTAATTTTTTTAAGGTTGGAGATTATCGATTAGTAAATTAATTACGATTTACGAATGCCTACAAACTATATGTTCATGAGTGCTCCAATTTTCAGTTGATCTATACACTTGTACCTAATAGGCAAACAACTTCGACCTAATCGGCAAACAAATATTAACAGACGTATGAAATTTAAGAAATAAAAAATGGATAAACCTCTTATGTTCGGAATCCTGAAAACAGGAGCGGAGCAATCCCGCGGGTGCAGGTGCGGAGGAGCAGAGATGAAGACCTAATGAACGGAAGTGGTCGCGCAAGATGATATTTTCAAGGAAAGAGAACACAAAAATCTATATATATGGGTGGGTTCCATTCTAGCCACAGGATTGAATGATCCAATAAGTTACAAAAATCAAAATTATACGTTCATTACTACAACAACGTCCGTGTATTATACAAGTGCTAGCTAATTTTTTTATTAAAATCTAAAAGTAATAAGAAAAAATAGTTAAAAATTTAAATACATTTTATAGAGTGAGTTATTTATTTAAAAAAAATTAAGTAGACAAAAAAAAAACGTGTAGACCAAAATCAAACAGCCGTATTTTCGGAATACGTTTTTTTAAAAAACAAAAAATTAACTAAAAAACGTATTTCTGGAATATGTCTTTATATATTATTTTAAATAAAAAAAATTCAAAATTCGATTAATATTAAAAATAGTAAATATAAAATACTATAAAACGTATTTTGAAAATCCGTTTTAAATAAAACGGATTTCTGGAATACAATTATCAAAGCGTTTAAAAAAATATATTTAATTAAAACGTATTCTGAGAATACATTTTACAATTAAAGTGTCGGTAGACGTATTCTCAGAATACGTTTTTAATATTAAATAAAAAAAAAATCTCTTCCTCTCCATTTCATTTACGCGACAGAGAGCAGAAAGAGAGCAAGAAGAAGCGAAAAAAATCAGAAAAAAAAAAACTCGATCCAATCTTTACCTCGGTGTGAATCGACAACACCGATACGAGCCTCATTTTCAGTTAATTCATTCGCACGAGGTATATTGGTTTATCTTAACTTTTTACATTATTTGGAGTTGTTTGGAGATTGTGGATTGTTATAATATGTTTGAATGTGGTTGTGTTTGAAGATTGAAAATTGTTAATTGATTATCGATTATGTGTGTATGTTGAATTGAGGATAGAATTTTGTGTGGAAATTGTCAATTATGTACTGTTTGATTGTTGTTGGGGTTAGGGTTGTTCGAAATTAGGTTATAATTAGGGCTTTCAATTTATTCGAATTATAGATGAATTTTATGTTATTGTTCGATTATGAGTATTAGGTTTTGGAGGATTATTTGATTGAGATTTTTTTTTTTTGTTGGAGTAAAAAATTGAGTTTTAAATTTTAGACATTATGTGTTGTTGTAATTGGAAAAAGAATTGAAAGTGTTTTTTTGCAACATGTATAAAATGGCCTATTCCGGTCCATACCTTGTTAATTTGTACTGGCATTTTAGGAAGGAAATGTTAAGCGGTTTTGTTTCATTTAAAGATCGTCCGAGTGGTTCATTTATTATTCCGGGGAGGATATCATATGAACAGTTGGTACAGATCATTAATGCAAAATGTCAGTTTGAAGAAGGTTGGACAATTCAGGAATTACGATGATGATTAGCCAACCTGATGGTTCGTGGAATCCCGCAATACTCAATAACGATAGTTTTGAATGGATTTATTACTTTCCTCGTATGTCCATGGTGTATTTGCATTTATCGTTGCAGGCAAATACACCCGTTACACAGTTTGAGGATGTTACTCCTTGTTACGGGGGAGTGTTTGATGTCGAGGGTACATCGACTTCTCATCTACCTAATTTTGGAGAAGGGACATCGAGAGAATGGGCGGCGGATGAGGACGGAGAAAATAAAGATTTTATTCATGGTGAAGATGATTTCACAGACGAGACCTCAAAAACCGAATCAGACAGATCGGTAAATGAGGAGAGTGAACCCGAGTTCATAGAAGAAGAACACCCATTTCCTCTTGGTGGTCGGCACATATACCGCGAGATGGGTGAATGGGACCCGTCCAGGATAGATGCAAACGAGTATGCTATTCCACGGTAGAATGGCGACATTGAGACCATCGTGTGGGTACAGTTTTCTGGAGCAAAGAAGAAGCCCAAACGGGTCTAATGGCTTGGAACGTCGATAGGTTGCGGGAGGTTCTTACAAAAGATTCAAATCAGAAGTCATTCAAACTGGTCTGCAAATTGAATACAGATGTGCCTTGTCTGTGGAAGGCTCGGGTGAATAAGGCCAGACGGCGTGATGATTTGTGGGAAGTAACTGAATGGAGTGACCAACACACTTGCATGCAACAGGTCGACAGAAATGACCACAGAAACGTGACCGCCCATATGATTGTGAATCTTATAATTAATAAGATTCAGAAGAAAGTGGAGTACAACGTTAACATGGTCCAGGCTGATGTGAAGCAGTGTTGGAAAGTCGACGTCAGTTACAAGAAGGCATGGCACGATAGGAAAAAAGCAATCGAGTGTGTTTACGGCAGTTGGGAGTCGAACTATGCAGAACTCTCTCAGTAAGCAAAATTTAATTACAAATATACGTGTTTTTTGTCTGTCATTATGTTTATTTATTTATGAAATTATTTTGTATTGTACAGATATTTTGTCGCGCTTCAAAGAGCGAATCCCAACACAGCTGTAGATTGGGAATTTCAGGGTGGTGATATGGCGCGACACGTTCCAGACAGAGAATTCAAATTTGTGTTCTGGACATTTGGTCCCGCGATTCAAAACTTTGAAATGTGCCCGTCGGTTATTAGCATCGATGGCACACATTTACGTGGACATTACAAAGGAAAATTGCTCGTGGTCGTAGCACAGACTGCGAATAAGCGGCTATTGCCAATGGCGTATGCGCTTGTCGACGAAGAAAGCACGAACAGTTGGTCATTTTTCCTTAGGAATCTGCGGCGATTTGTTGTATTCGACAGACAGATATGCGTTCTTTCTGACAGGGATGTGGGCCTACGTAGTGCGATTGAATCATTACCGGATTGGCAAGAACCCGCTGCGTATCACCGGATTTGCCTTCGACACCTTCGAAGCAACGTGGTGACTCGGTTCAGGAGTAAGAAAATCCAGGATTGGTGTTGGGATTTGGGTTCGCAGTTGTCGAAGCAAAAGTTTCGACAGACAAAAGAGCAACTTCAAGAATTTAATCCCGACGCATACAATTATCTTTTCAAAATTCCTTTGAACCAGTGGACCCTGTATCGAGATGAAAAACGTAGATGGGGCACCTTGACAACGAATATATCAGAGAGTTACAACAACATCCTGAAAGGGGTTAGGTTCCTGCCGTGTAGAGCTTTGGTAGACACCACATTTCACAAGACTCTGGATTTGTTTCGACAAGAACAAAACAAGTCCAGCAGATGCAGGAGTCCCATTGTTGGGGAGCACTATGTTGCATTTTTGCAGTTGAAGCAAACAGCCGCAACTCACGAGGTGGAATGTACGGACTACGACAGATCCATGTACGCGGTGACAACCGGTCTACGTGCTAGTGGAAGAGGGCAAAACAAGTAAGTATATGTTTTTTTTTTTTTTGTTCATTCAATTTTTTTTTTTTATTTTGTATATATATAAATCAATGTGGAAATACAGGTATAAGGTTGATTACCCCGGAAAACGTTGTACTTGTCGGAAGTGGCAGACACATAGAAAACCGTGTTCTCATGCAATAGTCGTTTGTCGTAGAATTTCGGGTAACCCAAAGTTGTTGTACGATGAGCACTTCTGGGCGTCGACCTGGGTAGCTCAATTTACTAATTGGAGTTTTACTCCGATTGGTAATCCGGATACATGGTCGCCGGTGGGATGGAATTTGATTCCACACTGGGAGAGGATCATCTTGAAGCCTGGACCCGTTCGCAAGCAAACGAGACGCTACCGCATGCAAATGGATCGTCGGGCATGACGCATAAATGAAAGGGGACATTGTACTAGATGCAATGATCCAGAGCATGTTGTGGATGGGTGTCCGTCCTCACATCCTCGCAGCGATAGGTCTAGGCTTCGTGATGTGTGGGGAGATTAGATTTTTTTATTGTTTATTTGGATTTGTTTGGATTGTTCATTTGAATTTGGTTGGATTATTTATTTTGTTTTGTTTGTATGATTTATTTGGACTTGGTTTGATGGTATTTAGGGTAGATTGGCTGATTTGTTCGTGTAATTTTGGTTTAGTTGGTTGTTTGGAATATGCATAGAAAACGGATTTGATTTGTTCTCAGGTCCCAGGTCTCTGTCGTGCAAGGAAGAAGAAGAAGGATTTTTTTTTAATATATTTTACTAAAAACAGATTCCCGGAATCTGTTTTTAAGGAAATTATTTGTAAAACGGATTCTGGGAATCCGTTTTTAAAATAAAAAAAATAGGTAGAGGCTCCCAGATTGGGGACTCAAACCCGGGTCAATGAGTGAGTCTGGTTTCTCTGGCCGCACCTCGTACCATTGTGCCGACAGACACTTTTCGATTATTTTTGTACAAATTATATACATATTCATACTAGTATATATAATATGATATAATATATATTATATGATGTAATATATAATATATAATATATAATATACTATACTATATATTATAATATACTATACTATATATTATAATATACTATACTATATATTACATATAGAATATAGTATATGTTATATCATACTATACTATAGTATATT